CTTTGGGAGAACCCCAAAGGAGGATTCATCAGAGGATTCACCCCAAAGGAGGGGAGTGCATTTAAGGGGGTGAATCCTCCTTTGGGGTGGATCCTTTGAGAGAACCCCAAAGGAGGATTCATCAGAGGATTCCCCCCAAAGGAGGATTCATCAGAGGATTGGATCCTCCGAGAGAATCTTCTGGGAAGCTTGGTGCTAAGGGTCTGTAGGATGATTCCCTTTCTCTTCTGTTTGGACTGGAAGGTTTGCCTCTGCTCGAAGGACAAAGTGGATAGATGGTTTCTTTTAAAACTATCAGGAGGGGTGGGAAGAAAACTGCCCGGTCAGTCTGTATTCTTAGGGAACTGACGGAGGGAATGAGAGTAAAGAAAACTTAAAGAAGGGGGGGAAAGGTCCACGGGGGGTTTCGGGCAGCTGGAGCAAAAGGAGAGCACCCTCCCGTATGCTCTCTAGAATAGAATGCAGAGTCTGCATCTTAAAACGCCTGTATGGGATGAACTCATTCAACAATTTTAGGTCGAGAATGACTCGCTACCCCCCCCCCCCCAACCCTTAGGGACCACAAAAAGCTGGGAATAAAACCCTCGCCCCCAATTGATGTTCGGGGACTGGTTGAATGCCCCTTATGTCCACTAGGTATTGGATGGCCGATTTCATTAGGACCCTTTTTGAACTGTCCTGTGAAATGGAACAGAACACAAAATTTTCAGGGGGTGGCAAGAGAAATTCCAGCTGTAAACCGAACCTTATTGTATCGAGTACTCAGGCGTCTGTCGTTGACTCCTCCCATCTGGAGGTGAAGAAGGCCAAATGACCTCCAATGGGTGGGGAGAACGAGGGGTTACTTAGAGTGATGGAAGGAATGAGCCCCTCCCCCACAAAAGGGCCATTCCCTCGCATGTTGTTGTCCACTGGGGACATCAAGCCATTGCTCCTGGCGCTGGGAATACGACCTCGGTGGTCTGGAAAAATGAGGGGTAGTCTCGGCCTGAAAGGATGGTGGACGGTAAGGAGCTGGACGGTAGTCTGTTTTCTTTCCCATCGAGGAAAGAACCTTCCTTATGTTCTTGGTATCAATGAGGTATGGCTCTAATGTGTTGCCGA